GGAATCGTCCGTTACTTACAAGGACGTGACGATTCGGATGCCTTCCCGGCTCTGGAACCACCCGGAACCGCATAAGGTGGCAGACTACCTCCATTCTGTGCTTCCTGAGGCTGACAAGGCTCGTGTCGAGGGGAACGACTACGAGCGTTCTTGTTACGCCACTCAATGCCTTACCCGGGTATGTGTTTTGCTCTTAGCTAAGTCGTTCATGTTTGTGTGTTCTTGTGCTCATTGTTTACGTATTGTGTTTCTCTCTTTTTTTTTTTGTAGTTCTTAGTGGCCGCTCTCCCTGGCCTCAAGGCCGGTAATCGACCCCCCACTTCCTCCACTAAGGCCCTCGAGGACAAATGCGAGGCGCAGCTTAGAGAGATTGCCCAATTAAAGAAGGAGCTGGAGGGGTCTAAAGCCTTGGTCGACAAGTTGAAAGCCGACAAAGCCGTGGCCCTGCACGACAACGAGAAGCTCCAGGCCGACCTTGAGAAGTTTCAGGAGGCGAACATGTATGAGGTAGACATTGGCATCGTTGAGGGCCGAAAGTCGTTCTTAAGGACTGGCTTAGGCGCTGCCTTTGTCAACGCCTACCGTAAGGAAGTCGTCAAGGCTTTCTGCAATTCTCCTGAGTTCCTCGATAAGCTCTTTCCTGCCGCCGTTCAATATTTTGATCATGCTTTCGATGCATGGGAAGCTGTGGTGGCGGGGTCTGAGTTTGCTGGGAAACTCGATCGGGAGGCAATGAAGCGTGCGCTTCCCGACCCTGATGGTTATGGAGGCGATCCGTCCCTTCCGGACGACTATCCCTGGTGGACTGGCCTCGAGGCGAAGACTACTCGAGATGCCAGGCTCACTCATCAGCTGGATGCTCCCCTGACTTCCCCCATCCAATCTGACGGGCCTAGTCATGAAGATCAGGTCGTGACCATCCTTGAGGAGAGCGACGAAGATGTTGTACCTTAGTTGTTCGTTCGAGGCTTATTGCCTTTTTCTTGTCGTTTATTCTTATTGTTTGTTCTGGTCTCAATCTGATTTTCTGAATTGTAAGGGTTGAGAAGACTCTTGTAATGAGTCTATTTTAAATGTTATTCTTCATTTTATCTTTGCCTAAGTTGTCACGTTCCCGCAACGCTGTGTTCATGCATCCCTCGAGATTTTACTTATAACTTCGTTGTTGTAGATTTATCGAAATTTCATTTGCTTACACATTTTGTAGTTTAAGTGATTTTGTAGCCGTAGGCATTACAACCTTGACGGGTTATGTTTGAGACAACTTTGCGGTTGTTTGGGTCGACTTTTATAGTCGTGGGCTTTTATAGCCTTGCCGAGATTTCGCTCGAGGCATACAACTTTTTAGTTGTTTGAGCCGACTTTTATAGTCGTGGCCTTTTATAGCCTTGCCGAGATTTCGCTCGAGGCATACAACTTATTAGTTGTTTGAGTCGACTTTTATAGTCATGGGCTTTTATAGCCTTGCCGAGATTTCGCTCGAGGCATACAACTTTTTAGTTGTTTGAGTCGACTTTTATAGTCGTGGGCTTTTATAGCCTTGCCGAGATTTCGCTCGAGGCATACAACTTTTTAGTTGTTTGAGTCGACTTTTATAGTCATGGGCTTTTATAGCCTTGCCGAGATTTCGCTCGAGGCATACAACTTTTTAGTTGTTTGAATCGACTTTATAGCCGTTCCGAAGGGTCTGATTCTTCTAATCATAATAAAATTGACATGGAAACGTAAAAATCACAATTTTAAACATGAAACTTCAAGTTATTGCATTTCTGAATTTGATTAGCCATTGTTCGTACAAAAAGAGTTCGAAATACTATCTTATGCATAAAAGCGTTTAAGATGAATCACGTGCCAGGATCGCGGCAACTGTTATCCTTGGCCATCTTCGAGTTCGTATGCGCCTATTTCGAGTACCTTGGTGATGGTGTAAGGTCCTTCCCAGTTGGCTTCAAGCTTCCCGACATGTTTAAGGGCATCTGCTCACTTGAGGACGAGGTCTCCTACTTGAAATCATCGGGTGTGGACTTTCCTGTTAAAGGCCACACGCATCTTCTGTTTGTACTCTATGGACCGCAGCCAAGCTTCGTCTCGCACTTCTTCTATCATGTCGAGGGCTTCTTTTGCTAGCTCTTCATTGGTCCTTTCTTTGTAGAATGTCGACCTGTGTGATTCCAATCCGACTTCGATGGGCAATAGAGCGTCCATTCCGTAAACCATGTGGAATGGTGATTGCCCTGTTGAACTTCTTGGGGTCGTCCTATAGGCCCATAGGACCGCTGTCAGCTCGTCGACCTAGGCACCAGATGCTTTTTCTAGTCTTTTCTTTAGCCCTTGCAATATGGTTCTGTTTGTTACTTTCACTTGGACATTCGCTTGAGGGTGTGCGACTGAGGCGAACCGCTGCTTGATCCCAATGTCGACACACCATGCCTGGATCCGCTTTCCCTGAAATTGCGTCCCATTATCCGAAATCAAGATCTTTGGGATTCCGAATCGACAACAGATGTTATTGAACAGGAAATGTATCATTTTATCTTCAGTGATTTTTGCCAGAGGCTCTGCTTCTACCCATTTGCTAAAGTAGTCGACGGCGACCACCATAAATTTTTGTTGTCCTGTTCCCATTGGCAATGGTCCTACCAAGTCAATTCCCCATTGAGCAAAAGGGATCGGGCAGCTGATTGTCGTCATTGCTTCGGCTGGGACGTGGGGGATTTGACCATGGCGCTGGCATCTATCGCACCCTTGTACTAATCGTTCGGCTGCTTTTCGGATCTTGGGCCAATAATAGCCTGCTCGAAGGGCTTTGCCCGCTAGGGCTCGTGATCCTACATGCGCTCCGCAGCACCCTTCATGGATTTCCTTCAAGACATGGTCCCCTTCTTTTTCAGAAACGCATCGCAAGTGGGGCCCGACCATCGATTTCTTATACAAGACTCCTTCGATCTCAAAATATTTACTCAAATATCGGGCTGCTTTCTCAGCCTCCTGCTTATCTCCCTCTGGCACCCGACTTTGTAATAGCTCGCGAATTGCTTTTCGCCAATCTTTGCTTTCGTCGACCTCCATTGTCTCACTCAGGACACTTCCTTCCAAGTGTAGTGTGGTAATATGATTCCCCATTTTTCCTTCGTTTGAACTTGCAATTCTTGCGAGCCAGTCGGCTCGCTTGTTCTCTTCTCGGGGTACTTGTGTTAGCTCGAAGCTGTCCAAGCCTTGCACTAGGCTCTGAATATCTTCGACATACTTTATCATCCGATCCTCTTTGATTTCGCAATTTCCCAATACTTGCCCCACAACTAGTTGTGAATCAGAATGTGCCATGATCTCCGTCGCTCCGCCCCCGATTGCCAGTTGGATTCCCTTAATTAGAGCCTCGTACTCCACTTCGTTGTTTGAGGCTTTGAACCCCATTCTGATGGCGAAGTCGAGCTGTTTGCCTTCGGGGGATATCAGGGTTACTCCCAGACCAGATCCTTTGGCTGATGAGGACCCGTCGACGTGCATCATCCATTTCTTGCTTGCCCCTTTAGTCCCTTCTTGAATAAAGTCGGCTAGAGCTTGCGCCTTTATAGCTCGTCGAGGTTCGTATTTGATGGAAAATTCGCTAAGTTCGACTGCCCATTTTACGAGTCGGCCCGACACGGTAGGTCGACCCAGGGTCCCTCCGAGCTAGAAATTTGTCCTTACTATTATCACATGGTTCATGAAATACGGTCTTAATTTTCTGGCTGTGAGTACCAATGTTAATGCGGCCTTCTCGACTTCGGAATATCTTGCTTCTGCGCCTTGAAGCACTCTACTTGTATAATAGATTGGCTGTTGGGCCCCTCCTGCTTCTCGCAGTAATACCGAACTCAAAGAAAAGATTCCCACCGAGATATAGAGCACCAATTCGTCGCCCGGCTCTGGCTTTGTTAACAATGGCAGTTCGCTCAAAAACTCCTTCAACTTCTCAAATGCCATATGAGCCTCGTCACCCCACTGAAAAGCTTTTTTCTTGAGTAACTTGAAGAATGGGAAACTCCTTTTTGCAGCTCGAGCTATGAATCGACTTAGACCTGCAATTCGACCTGTCAGGACTTGCACTTCTCTAACGCTCTTTGGCGGAGCCATGTCGAGTATGGCTTGCACTTTGTCCTTATTTACTTCGATGCCTCTTTCAGTTACGACATAGCCTAGGAATCGTCCTGCCCTTACTCCAAAAGCACACTTACTCGGGTTTAGTTTCATTCCAAATGTTCTTAATGTTGTAAACTTTTCCCTCAAATCCTCCACATGCGAGATCGAGGACCTACTCTTCACCAAGATATCGTCCACATAAACTTCCATATTTCGTCCGATCTGTGACTTGAACATTCGATCCATCAACCTCTGGTATGTTGCCCCCGCATTTTTAAGCCCAAAAGGCATGACGACATAGCAATATGTCCCCTTACTCATTACGAAACTAACTTTGCTTTGATCCTTAGGAGCAAACGGAATTTTGTGATATCCCTGGGACGCGTCCATCATACTTAGCAATTGACAGCCAGCTGTGGAGTCGACCAGCTGGTCGATTCTCGGCAGGGGGTAGTGGTCCTTTGGGCAAGCTAAATTTAAGTCACGAAAATCGATGCACATGCGCCAATTATTTAGCGCTTTTCTCACCATCACTGTATTCGATATCCATTCGGGGAATTGAGTTTCTTTGATATGTTTGGCCTTCAGCAACTTGTCCACCTCGACCTCGATTGCTTTATCGATCTCTGCCCCGTGACGCCTGAGACGCTGCTTCACAGGTTTCTTGAGGGGGTCGACATTAAGTTTATGCTCCATGACATCGGGGTTGATTCCCGTTAACTCTTCGGGGGAAAAAGCGAATATGTCCCTGCATTCTTTCAGCAGTCCCACCAACTGTCGACGCAACTCATCTTCCAATTCTCGCCCAATTTTAGTGGTTTGTTCCTCTTTTTCCCCAATTTAAATTTCCATTAATTCTCCATGTGGCTCGAGGTCACCCTCCCTTTGTCTTTTTTCGCTTGTCGTCAGCTTTTTTCCTTCTTTCACCTCCGTCCGTTGGTTTGTTCTTACTGCAATCTGATAACAGGTTCTTGACAGCCTCTGGTCTCCTCTGGCCTCCCCGACTTTATCTCCCACGGGGAATTTTAGTTTCATATGGTAGGTTGACACTACTGCTTGGAATGTGTTGAGCGCTGGCCTTCCCAGAATCACATTATAGGCTGACTCGACATCGACTACGACAAATCGTACCATTTTTACTTTCCTTAGGTCGCCCTTCCCTAGGACGACAGCGAGCGTGGTCTCTCCTAGGGGTGCGACTTCCGAGCCGTTAAATCCAAAAAGTGAGGTGTATAGGGGTGAGAGCTCAATGTCGAGTTCCATCCGCTTAAGACAATTGTAAAAAATCACGTTCACCGAGCTTCCTGTGTCAACAAAGATTCATTGTACTTCATAGCCCGATATCTGAGATGTGATCATTAGGGCATCGTTGTGAGGTCTCTCGACTTCTCCCATGTCTGCTGGTCCAAAATTCATCACCGGACCGTTTTTCTCGACCTGTTGCACCTCAATTTTTCCATGGTGTCCTCGAGCATAGGCTTTTCTGGCCTGATTTGAATCTCCATCAGTCAGCCCTCCGAATATCATGTGAATTACTCCTCTTTTCTGAGGGAGCTCCTCCTTGTCGGGTGTCCTTGCTCTCTTGTGAGGGCTTTTGCTTCTCTTCCTGCGCCGACTGGTCCGCTCTCGATCCTTATAAATGAATTCCTTCAGATGGCCCGCTTTGATTAGTCTCTCAATCTCATTTTTTAGGTGCCGACATTCATCGGTATTATGGCCATAGTCTTTGTGAAATCGACAATACAGATCGCTTTTAGTCTTTGTTGGCCCATCCTTTCTCGTCCGTGGCCACCTGACAACATTGTCACGGATCTATTTCTCCATAACCTCCAGTATCCTTGCATTCGAAGCTAACAGGGGAGTATATTGGGTTTTCTTCCATCCCCTTGATCGTCCTTCTCTTTCAGACCTCGGGGATCCCTTCCTTTCAGTCGTCGCGACCGGCTTTTTATCCTTCTTCTCGTCCCGAGGCTCAGTTTTTAACTTGGCTGCTTGCAGAAAGTCCGCTTCAGCTTCTTCCACATTCATGTATTTGGCGCATCTTCCTAACACCTCGTCGAACGTCCTCTCGGGTCGCTTTGCTAGGGAGTTTCTGCATAGCCCTGGGAGCAGCCCTCGAGTGAGCCCTCCTTACTTAATTTCCTCGGTGGCCAAGGGGACGTCGACGCATGCCCGTGTGTACCTTGCCACATAATCCCTCAATGATTCCCCTACTTTCTATTGCATACCTATTAGAGTAAGGTAAGACTTTTCTTGGGCTTTTACACTTGCGAATTGGTTTAGGAAGCTCGAGCTAAAATCCGTCAAAGTCCCTGATGGCTCCTGGGGGCAATTGGTGAAACCAATCCTGCGCTGGTCCTTGCAAGGTCGTCAAGAACGCTCGACATTGAACGGGGTCGTTATAACGGTACAGTATTGCCATGTTTTCGAAACTTTTTAGATGTCGAGAGGGATCAGTCGACCCGTCATACCAGATGTTGAGCTCCCTGAACCCCTGAGGCAAGTCGGCGTCTAGGATATGTTGCGAAAAATGGTGTCCCCTCGAGCTTCCCGTTTTTCTTCCTTCCACTCGAGCCTGCAAGTCCCGGACCTGCGCTAACAGCTGCTCCAGGGTATTGTTTCTGGCTTGTGGATTAATAGTTCTGACAAAGGACTCTTCTTCATCTACCCTCCTGTTCTGCCTCTCATGTGATTGCGCCTGTTGCTCGCGGTCAAGGGGTTGCTGCTCATTTTGAGGCTGCTCGACCCTTGCTTGTTCGATCCTGGGTCGTTCGACCCTTGGTTGCTCGACTGGTGTTTGTTTGAGTTGGGCCGCTACTGCCTCCGTGATCATTCTCTGCATCTCGCTTCTCGTCACAGTCAGCGTTTGTTCCTCGACTTGGAGCGGTGGCCTTGTTTCCTGATCAGGTTGCCCAGGTTGCTTCCCCAACCTTAAAGATATTTCGGTCGATGCGTGACCATCCACTTCTCCGCTCGTGTCCTTCACGTGACTGGCCTCCCCTTGGGTGAGAACCGGGATCTTGACTCTGGGCGGGGTAATAGGCGTCCCCTCTCCCATACGCCCTCCTGACGGCGCGTGCGCCCCAAAAGGTGGGAATCCCAGCACCTGGAGTGGTGGTCTAAGGCTGGGAATCGACGAAGGTCGCTTGTCAGTCCATGTTGCCCTGAAATCTTCATTCAAGTTTTTCTGCACTCCTTCCTTCTCAGCCATCGGAAACAGATCAAAGCTAGGTGTAAAGCTCTTAATTCCTTCAAGAACTCCCCACATACGGCGCCAAATGATGGGTCTATTTCCGGATCTGGGGTGAACCGATGAGAACGAGCTCCGATCTGTCCTGATGGTCTCCAAATTGCTATCAAACCACAAGAACACCTACAAGAACTCAACGCCGGAGGGTTTCCGGCGTAGAGCCTCCGACGCTCAAGTCAGTATGTGAAAGAGATTAAGAGAGCTGCTCTGAGAAAGCAGCAGCAGTAATGGGAAAGAATGTGAAATGAATGGGAGTTAGGGTTTTGGGATTACCTCAGCTCCTTTATATAGAAGTGCAATATTTACCTGAAGTCCCCAAAATGCCCCGGCCGACTTACTGGAAATATCCAAAATACCCTGGTCGGTTCGCATTCTGCCCATTTCCTAGTCAGCATCTAGATCCTTCCTTAGCTTCCTTCTTATCCTTAACTTTCCCTCGATGCGCTGAAGTGTATCAAAGCTGTCGAGATCTATGAACTGCGAGATCCCTTTAGTCGACCTGAGATATCGACTCGAGTCGACTGGATCGTATTCAACCGCTAGTGGATCCTGATACGTCTGACCATCGTCCTAGAGGAAATCGACTTATGTTAGTCGACATGTGTACGTCGACTTAGACGAGTGCCGGGATCCTTGACCGTGAGTATCATGAAGAGCCTTATTGACGGAGTCGACTTTGCTAAAGTCGACTTGGTAATCTCTGAGCCGTGATGACATGGACCGTTATGAGTCAGTGTGGCTATATCAGGAAGAGTTTAGCAAAACACAAAATCAATCACTCTCAATGAGAGCACCAATGATGAAGGATCGTATGTTTGTTCCACTCGTTTGCCTCGAACTAAGCCTCGCCACAGCTCGCCCTCGACTGATAGGTGTGATCGAATCGGTTATTAACCTAACTCTCTCACGAACTTGAGTTCACTCGGTAATTAGCCTCGCTTCACTCGGTTGTATGATAACACTCTCACGAATATTAAACACACGGATGAACAAATATTTTTTTCTATTCAACTCATCAATTCCCAGACATCTAAAACATTGAGGGTAGACCCCTATTTATAGTTGCAAAATAAATCTAATCCTAGTCTAATTAGATCTCCTAAACCAAGCAATATAATAAATCCTAAAGCAACTAGATATCCTAACATCTTCTACTAGTAATGCAAGAAGGAAAGTAAATATCTACTAGAATCCTAAATAATTAGAAGGTCTTGATCTTCATTGTTTTGCACTCCAATCCATTCGGCTGCCCTAATGCCCGCCGCCTCACTTCACGCGCCGCCAGCGAGACCTAGTCCTGGTCGGGTGCGGCTTCCTGCGCATGCGCTACACGCGTTGCCCTTCGCACGTGCGCCCTGCTGGTCGTCCTCCCTCCGCGCATGAGGTCCGGCGCCCAGCACTCTGACGCCTGCTCGGTCGCGATCTTCCCCTGCCAGCGCATCGCCCGTCATGCCAACTCCTTCACGGCTTAGGTCGTCCGCATCGGTGCTCCACTCGCGCGCCTGTGCACGCGCCCCGTTGCACCCGGCTGCTTCGCGCGCGTGCGCTCCCGCCAGTCCTAGGCCTGCGAGGCCTAGGCCACTGCCCGCGTCTGCGCCACTCGCGCGCACTTCGCGCCCCGCGCGCCCATCGTCCGACTGCTGCGCGTCCCAACTAACATCCACGTCCAAATCACCTACCGCGCACCCCATTGCGCAAAATGCCTTCTCGTGTTCGTCCTACGCCCCGAGCACATCGTCGCTCGTCGACCCATTGCACGCATCAAGGCCCGATGCGTGCCATCCGCTTATTCGCCCTTCAGCCATGCCCGTCCATCTGCATCCGCCCGATGGCCCATGGCAATCACCTGCACGAACACTCTACCCATCTTTCACCCCTCGTGCACCCAATCTCCTAAATTCCATGCGCCATGCACACTGCTTCCTTGCACAAGCTTTGCACCATCCGTTCGTCACCTTAGTCCTAGGCTTGTGTTGCCTCTTTGCTCTCTTGCGCCTTCTTGACCTTGGTCCACATCCTCTGGGCCAATCTCGCTCGCATGAGGGTTGATAAATCGGGCTTTGCGGCTCCTCGAGCATGTTCTCCAGCCAAATATCAAGATCGCCCATCGTCTCGTCCTCGGACTCTCCGGGGTTAATAACCACTTCTGTATCACACGGGCGTCTGGTATCACGCGTGCATGCGCAGAAAGAAAACTGGACGTGCGCAGACTGGTACGCGCGTGATGGTCGCGCACTGTGGACGACGGCCAGCCAGGCGTTGCTGGGACTCGTCGCTAGGCGTCGCTGGCAGGACCTGGCGATGCGCGGCTGCTTGCGGCAGTGAGTGGTTGGCGAATGGCGATGATAAAGTAAGGAAGATGACCGAAAAATTCTGATTAAAAGGCTTAAATAAATTGTACCAAAAAGCCTTCTAATGGATTACCTAAACACCTACTACGACTAATCTTGGTGGAGCAATTAATCGAATCTCCCTAACTCTTAAACAAAGCTCTTTCTCTCGTGTATGTAGGAGAAAAATCGGCCAGCTCAAAGTCTTTACAAGAGGATCTGATATGGTGTATGTATAGGCTCCATTAGGGACCTTAAGGAGGTGCTAAATATGGGCTTATCCCATTAGGCCAAGGAATCCTAATTCTACTCCATCTATTAATCCAAACTAGGATAGAACTCTCCTACTACTCATCACCTTCTAAAAGACTCCCAAGTCTCCTAACCTTAGACAAGATTCTAGTAGGAATATTCCTTTCCTTATGGAATATTAAATATGGAATAAAATTAGTTCCTTATTAAATGGAATTAAATAATAAAATAATCCACTAGAGTAATTTTATTACTCTCCCCATTTAGCTCCTAATTTATCAATAAATCCGAACCTCCATGATTAAATAATATTAATTTGATTGATCGATTTATCTCCCTATGTTTAAGATATACAGTTCGTTAATTAATTAAATTACTGACAAAATAATTAATTAACTTCTTATTTATTTCCGAAATTAATACAACTCAGATCCTTAACCATTATGTCAGACAATCGTCTACCTACAGGGTTTTTAACATAATGTACATTCCTAAGCTCATTTCGGGGACGTCATCAATCCAGCGCACTGGAACATAGTGACCATAATAATTTATAATAGCACATCATATAATCCTTCTCATTTACCAAAATACCTCGTATGTCATCCTAATAAAAATAAGAATCACTTGGTAAATCAAATAAACAAGAAGTGAATATATATGCCTATTTTATATTATCTTATAGCTTAAGAGAAAGCATCAATCACCGAAGGTTATAGATTACAACAACCATCAGTGAGTCTCATAATCTTATCCTTCTGCGGTCCTGTTCAACACTTATCATAATTGCTAGTGTAATTCTTTAGTTAAAGACCAACTAAATCAAGAATACACTACAGTCTTTTTCCAAGAGGGGTCTCACTGTATGTCTAGACTGTGAACGAATAGTTTAGTCTTATAAGGAACTGATAGGTGATCTATCTGTTCGAAACACTTCGAACCACACTATCTGAATATAAGACATGGAGTATGATTCGCATAAATAAATAAACTGCAAACATTTGTACTTTGACTGAAATATGATGGCCAAATCAAAATGGAATTGATAGAATCTGCAAAACATAGTTTTTACAACATATCTCTAATAGCAGTGCCACGTGTATTGGTGTACTTGGTGCAATGCATATCACTATCTTCACAATCCATCTTGCTATTGCATCTTTTTCACGCAAAGTACAACCAATTATCAATAACAGAGTCGATTGAGGCACAAACCCAAGTATCCATAGCCTTCAAAATAGCAACATTGAATTTGTAAGCATAACAAAAATAATGATATTATACAAAGCTGGCATTATAAGATATAAATTCGAAAATATATATTATATTACCTCTTTAGTCTCATGAAGAGAATCGACAAAGCTAACGATGACATCAGCATCCTCAAGTCCTTGAACTTTACTCTTATCAACTAAAGAGCTATTCGATCTAAGCTTTACAATTTTGATTTTGCTAGTGACATCCTAAAAAAATAATATTTAGATAAAATATAATATATATATATATATATATATATGTATAAAAAAAATGTAAAACATAAATAAAAAGATTAATTACTTTTCCAGAAATTCTTGAACTTCGGGAATATCGTGAACACCAATCAAATGTGTGACATCCTATGAAGTTGTTATTAAACTTCACCTATTGGAACAAAAACAATAGCCAAGCAATAGTAAATATTTAAAATTATAAATAGATAATCGTTTTTTTTTTCGAGAAATAAAAAAATTAAAATTAAATTACTGTTCCACGGCTTAGCACGACACATTTGTATGATCAAGACAAACGGTGGATTGGCTTCCACATAGTAATTCTCGAAAGCAATAAAATGATCCACATATGCTCCCCATACGCTACATACTAAAAATAAGAAAAAAAATTAATAAGATTATAGAAAAAATCGAGTGAGATTTATAACAACAAAATGGAATCAACTAACTCTAAATCCATAAGAGTGAAATTGGTCATTTAGGTCGGGCCACTTTTCACGTTTTTTATTTGAATTGGATGGGTCTCCACCACCAAGCCAATAACATCTACACACGATAAATATTATTAAAATACAATAATTATAATGAATAATTAATATAGAATTCATATAAAATAATTTAAAAATTACCAAACAAAATTGATTTGTCAATGTTGTCTATGTCGCGCAAAGTGAGAAATTCTCTAAAAGAGAATCAAAACAATGGAAATGAGCTCTTCAGTTTATAGAATTCAGTTCCCCTATGAAGAATGATCCGATATTTGTCAACAGTTGATTTTTAAATGCCAATATTACTCTCAACTTGATAATGATTAAAGGCATAAGCTTCGCCATCCTTTATAATATTAATGAAATGAGATATGTGAATGGACCTTATGAGACCGGTTATCCTTCCACGCTATAAAAAAAATGAATTACAATAATATATAAACAAAAAATCACGTAATTTAATAATAATAGAAACTTGTGACAAACCCATTGTCATGGAAAATTAGCTCAAGCACTCTTTTCTTTGAAAAATTATCAGATGTTCTTTGAAACATTGAACAATACGAATCTAGTGAAATGGCCCATTGGACCTCTTGATATCCTTGATCAAACCCCATGTTTGCATCATCGTCTTAATATTACTAACAAAAAAAGGAAACGATGTATTGTATATAAAGTGAGTCGTGTTGAATGCAAAATAACATATTGCATTGGTGTTTTTATACTGAAATGGATGTGAATTACATTTATTAAGTAGATAAATGCAAATATTTTAGAGATTTATGTTATTAATTTGATAATGATAAATCTGATTTTAATTAATAATAATACCATAAAAAAGATAGTATTGCTAAAATAATAGAGAATAATCAAAATAACAAAGTCGCAGTTGGGCTGGCTTTGAACCAACATGGCTTGATCGGCTCAACATGGCCATGCCAGAAGAGTACGTGTAGGAAGTGGTTCGATTGCAAGACGTCTGAATATTAAAATAAATAATCTGACAACATATATA